TCTGAATGAGTGATCATCAATTAATCAGAGAAAAAGTCGTTCTTCAGGGGGCAAAAAAAAGTGGTTAATGAAGAAGTGAAAATAATAGATAACATAGTGTATATAAATTTATTTTGACCTCATTACACGTGATAGTTCTGTGTCCCAGCAATTTCGGGACACTCTTTATAGTTGGTTTGTTGGTGTACCATATGGAAAAAGATACAGAACTTTCAATGATTCCTTAAATAGTACCGAAATTTCATTATTTGAATAATCTATTACCATAATCACACCACAATTATATAAAATCCATTATTCAATATCTGAAAACAAAAAACTGCATTTGTTACATTTTCGCACGCCGCTGTCGTTTGAGGATATAGCACAGTCTATCGTTACCGTTTTCCTTCCCCTCAACCCGCTTGCCTACATCTCTGAGACTTCAAAACATTATATGCTGAATGCATAGAGTTGCTGTGTCCTTCATCTAGCATTGCGGTTCTTGATGTACTATGCATGACATAGTGAACAGGTTATTCATTATTTCTATCTCTCTTTCGCCAAAGAACACGTTGGGCTTGCATTTCTTTATGGATACGAACTTGGTGAAACATCTCCTCAATGTCACCTGCATATCCAACTCGATTTTGTCGAAATTCCATCAATAAGCCTATGCATGATTGGTTTCAGAAAATCAGGTTGAGATAGGAGTTGTGTATTCAAACTTATTTCCTGAGTATTTTATGCAGCATCAAACACCAGTCTCAATTTCCCGGGTTTGTTGGGGGTTCACATCCCCGAAATGTGGAAGTACCAATTTTTTCGTGACACCTCATCCATTTCGTCTTCATTATGAGCTTCCTTGAATATCCTTTCTTCTCATATTCCATTAATTTCTGGCAAATTTTCCGGCTTTGTCCATTTTTATTTCCATATAATATGGACGTATGAAGGATGATGTCTTGCTATATGAAAACGTTGTGTCATCATCCTTCCATAGCAACCCCGTTGTGAATATTTCTGCTACTCTGTCGTCGTCTGTTGCATTATGTTCTCACATCTTTCGTCTCCTTTCGTTTCTGTGTATTTTTCGATGATTTTCACATCAAAAGACTCTATATGGTGATTGATTCTTCAATCATTTCATGCAGTTCATCATATTGTCGTGATCTTTCACAGATATGGTAAAGTATTTATTGAATGTCCATGGCCTTGCCCTATCAGAATTTGCGGAGTGTTTTCGTGATTAGATGAAATCTTCTTCAATCGTTCTACAAGAGGATATCTGTCTCCCACAGTATCTTTGTCCAGAGTATCCATCGGTAAAATTAGGTCTTTGATGGTTCTTACTTGGTTCAATTTGAAATATTCTCCATCTGTTGATCCAGAAATATCAAAATAAAAATCTTAGAATTGTATTCTTGATAAATATTTCCATTCGTCAATTCATAACAAATTGGTAGGTACTGTACAACCTTCTATAAGCCTGGGTCATCTGCCAAGTTAGAGTATATTAATGAAATTGTTGCTCCTTCATCATAAAAAGCGTACCTATGTTGAGAACACATCATTTGGAACTTCCACATTGACGGGCAGTATCTTTAGTAGATCCTCATTTCGATTTCTTGTGACGTTTATGCGTTCCATCTGTCCTGATAGTAGTTTTTGTGTTCGTTCAGAAACATTTACAGCATGCTCAGCAATATTAGATGGCTTGTGTAGGAGAGGATGGTGTGTTCTGGTACATCCATTCGAATAATAGTGTCTTTCCTCGTGACAATCTGATTTGGAATGATACAGTTTGAGGCAACAAAAGTACACAGTTTATTCTTGGTTCCATCTCTCATCCACGTTCATATCCTTGAATACCCTACAATATTTTAATGAATGCATGATTTCTTCACGTGATATACATCCTCTTTCGCTAATATATTCAATTGAGCTCAAGAAAATTTGGCAGTTCACGAGTTATTCCATCCAACAACTGAGACAAATACATATGTCCTGTCGACTCTTAAACTTCCATTGTAGTTATCAAATTGGTTACTGCATTAGATAACCATCTCGATAACCATATATAAATTGAATCAGGTTCTCCTTCTCTTGGCGACGGAGTCTTCTTTGTCTCTTCTAGCAACAAAGATATAATGATTTCAGATCTCCCAAAGACCATTTCTAGGGTTTTCAATACAGTTTCCACATTTGATGATGATATTAATAACGGTTTGACCGTTTTCCTTGCTCTTCCATGAAGGCATTTCTGTTTTCATATCAAGTTCTCTTCTTCTGTAAATTTGCGGGCTTCAGTGTATTTTATGAACTGTGAACTATGAAAACAACTGCAAAACTTTCATTGAATGCCTGTTAAGTAATATCTCTACAAGATCTCTCTTCGTCGTCATCTGGTATTCCTATAAAGTTAGGAATCTCTTGCTCTTCAATTTGATTCTCAAACCAAATCTCGACTATCTCCAGCCTGTTTTCAGATTCTTGTAATGAATTTTCATGTTCAATTTCATTTCCATATCTACTTTTAATATCGCTGCATATACCTATTTATAGAATGTAGCATATAATATTCTCTCATTATATATCAACTTCGGGTTACTACAAGTGGTAAAAAATTATGAATTCATCAAATATAAGTTCTCATCAATTATGTTCAGCCTCGTGTCCAGCTTAGCCCTGACTCAAGAATATTGAGTGATAATTGGTCAATTTCAGATATAAAGTCTGAAACCACCAATCACCGGCTCAAATATTGAAGTTAGGACCCGCCAGTTACGTCGTGCATGAATTCACCATAGATCTTCCTGTAAAGCGTATCAGCACCAGAAATTTCGAATCTCATCAGCATTCCATCTATACGTCTAACAACAGTATATAGACCCTTACGAATATATATCGCTCATCCACTCGTGGCTAGCATGCGCAGTAGCTCAGCTAGCAGGGCAGGTGTTTTGTTAACACTCATTTAAATTATATGCCTCTGTGATTCATTCTATGTTGGTGAAAATTTTTCTGAAAAAATTTTGCAGCAACATACTTGTGATATATAAGTGAAACCTGAGGTGAAACCTATGCAAAGTCAGAAACAGAACTGGTTGATGAAGGAATTTATTCACATCTTGAAGCAGATAAAAACTCTGCTGAAGATACATACATATGAAAATTGAATGCCTCAGCATGATTTTCTTCATGCCTAGGAGTATGTGAAAATATATTTACTTAGAATTTCCCGGAATTTCCCTAATTTTTCAGTCTAGCCTAATGGTGCTATCAGGTCGAAGGAAGAAATAACAAGTACAGTTCTGCTGATATCCATAATCATATCCTTGTGGAAATTCTCCACTTAATTATCTCAACAGTTCCTTTACTCGAATAAGGACTCGAATAAGGATTATAGGATTATTCATCGTCTGAAGTTTATATACAGAGAGTGAGAGAGTTATAAAAACCGAAGACTAAAATACTAAATTCAAAATGAAAAGTTGTGCAACATTTGTGATCATCATTTCAGATTCAGTTATCATAATGATCATATTCGATCTGATTATATTTTGAAGCCCCTCTCGATTCTCAGTATGTTTATTAAAAAAAATTTATATTCTGAGGAGTTGGTTTCCAACTTTGAACACTGAAAAGAAAGATGGTAGTTATTACCAAACGTTTAGTAAAATAGGAGCCAGTCACGACTTTCATCAAATGATACCACTACAACATTATATAATACTATACTATATCAAGTATTACCACTACAAAATAACAATATAATACTCATAGTTTAGTTTAGTACAACTTTGTAGTGGTATTATTTGATGAATGTAGTGACTAGCGCCTATTCTACTATAAACGTTTGGTATTCACTACCGACTATTTCTCTGAGTGAAGTAGCGATATACCGAGCGATATACACATTGTCTACACATAATATACAGGGTGGAGACTTCAACTAGAATAAACTCGCTACCGGGGGAGTGAATGATTTTTCTGAGAATTCGCGAGACACATCAACGTTTAAATTCGGTTTAAATGCATGTATTCATCTACATTTGGCGTGCGATATGGAGAATAAAACCCTCCAGGAGTATAGCTGGAATCAACTGCAACATGTTTTTCTTCCAAATGGAACATTATGGGTTGCGACCCTTCATTGGAAAGCTGGGTTGAAAGAGGAATCCAGCGTACTGATCATATTTTAGTTTGCAGTTCGTTTGGAGGTCATAAAATCAAACTATAATTTCGAAATTCAATATACTTTCAACGTATTTTCATCAAAATTTCAACTTCTAGTGACAGTGATATAGGGCATTCCCACCAGTTTGCAATAACACTTCGCTTCGAACTGTGAATACGGCAAAAAAACTAAATTTCTTTTTGCGGCTCTATAAAAACACTGGAACAGTTGATGCAAAAAATTGCCATCAATTATTGTTCAACACACATCTTCTGCGATTGATTCTTTGAAAAACATTGAAATTTGAGTTACATTTAAAATTTTTGCAACCTTCACGTATGAAATACTAAAATTTGACTATAGTACGCTGGATTCATCTTTCCACCAGCTTTCAAAGTAGAGGTCACAAGCCATATAGGGTCACACTTGGAAAAATCATGTTGAGCTACCCCTGGAGGGATATACTTGATATTGCTTGTAAAAGGTTGGTAAATATATTACATCGTTGATGACGTATGTCGAGAATTTTCATAAAGAATAATAACCTCCCCGCTAACGAATTTATTACAATAATTAAAGTCTCCACACTGTACAATACTGTACATATAGTTCCACAGGTGCAGATATCATAGATTTGTTGGATTCATATTGAACGAATGTTTTTTTCATGATGGCTAACCTAAAAGTTACCTACTCGATTAGGTAGGTATATAGCGATCAGAAGTAAGAGTGGGAATCTGATACACTGACTATTCTGATGAGATGGTATGCCTAATCTCATCTGATGATTGCGTTCATTGTTTGTGTATACCAAAAGCATCTCAACAAATAGACAACTCACCTGCATCACTACCGTCATAGTCCGGAGAACCCCTAGAACCGTCCAGCGGCTTCCAACAACAAACCCCGTCACTGTAAACAGTCTGCCTCCCCGTAAACTTAGTGGGGTCCAAGATATTCTCCACCGAAAAAGCCAGTCTCCTGCCCTGGTGGCTCACAACCGACGGCGGACTCTGGTCCCTGCCAGGACTCCTAGACCGACTCCTGTCACTACAAACACTCTCCGCACGTTTCACCAACTCGTCAGTGTCATTTTTGCCGAAGCTTACGAAAGAGGAGGGGTAAGACTCATGCCTCCTGGTCAGGTCGACCGGGCAGAGGGCATCGTCGTTCTCCACGTCGACATTGAGGTCTTCTTCTTCGGATTTATCACAGCTTTCAGCGTCCCTGGCTTGTTCTAACCTTCTCCGGGCCGAGCCTCTACGGAAAAGTCGCTCATCCTGGCTGGATGCCTCTTTCTCCTGAACGACATCTTGAGAATTGGTGACGATACGTTCCATCATCAGCATTGTCATTATTCCGGATGTCCCCTGGCACTACGACATATCATCCCGCACAGTATTTAACCTCCAAAACACTTGCTGTCGAATGGGGAGATTTTTAGACACTAAAGCAAATTCTATGCCAGCCGAATCTCGGCACAGAATGGCGAACTTAGAATCACTGCCGATGCTTGGAGGGGATCTCTGCGTGGTGATTGGAGCGTCGCGTGCAGCGTCGGTGTTGCCATTGGGCGTGGAATATCGGAGGGCGTGGCAGGGTTAAACTGGCACACAGCGCCCGCTTTATTTGCTTTGTAATTATGAATATGATTTGTAATAAGGGAAGAAGTGAGTTGGGAAATTAGCGGGCTATGATTGTGGGGGTAAGTTCGCCGGGACAAAAGGCTCTTATTCGGAGTTTGTTGATGGAACAATTTGGATTTAGTGGCGGTGAAAATGTTACGGCTAGCTGGTTAATTAGAGTAGGATTGTATTGTTGTTTATTTTTATGACTATTGCTCTCATTCTGGTGAAGGCATTTTGGTCTTCATCAGGTGTGCTTTTGTGAATGTTTGATGTTAAAAATATTACAGCAAGCCTATTCATTTACAGACCGTTCGTTCCAAATATGTATTCTATTGATAATGTATAATGAATAGGTACAAGCATATACAATATACTTACATGCCGAGTAACATTGATAGTAAAACCAGAGCATATATGGATATATGTTGTCTACGAGGATCTTAATTGCTATAGGTACCAGAGGTGAATTCTGTACTTAATGTCATGAATGGACATTATATATATATCTATATTTTAAAATCAAAGAAAAGTTGGTACTTCAAGAATAAATCTTTGAAAATCATATACCTATACTTATAGGTTCCTACACTTTAGAAAATTCCTCTGAGTGAATGCATAATATGTGGTTGTGAGTGAATTTACTGATTGACATTTTTGAGTGAATTCTCAACTCAAACTAGATATTTCATCAAGTTCTCATATCAATGAGAATGTTTATAAAAAATTTGATTGAATCGGTTCATGAATTACCATTTTACACAGTCGAGTAGGGTGCAATTTCAACTCAATCGGGCGAGGACCGAAATTGACTCATTATTGCGTGGACCTCGAGTGAAATTTCACTCAATTTTTTTTCCAGTGTATATGGACATTCTATTTATATGTTCAATGATGTTTTTTCATATTATATTGAATTGAAAATACTCCATTTTTTATATTCTTTCAAAAGTTTATGTCACGCACTGATGGTTAGTTTATCATCGTATCTTCCCAAATTATTCCATGCATTGAACAATCAATACCTAATTGATCAAGATGTTATTGAAAATGGAATCGAACATGAGGTTGTGAATAATTTGAATATATATCTTGAACAAATCATCAAGTAGACATTCAACACATCAGAAAACACGTTGAAAGATAACTGCTCAGAAAAAAATTTAGATATGGCGTGAAAAAATACTTGAGTATATACCGTAAAACAGGGTGAATAGAAACTTGGGGACATAGAAACTTGGGGACATAGAAACAAGTATGGAGCAAACATCTGAGGCGATCCATCTTACAGTGGAGTGAAGGCAATAGGACAGGACAAAATTCTTACAGTCGACTCCACCAAAGCTATACTTTATCGTAAGCAATATTACAGGGACATGTTTCGAAGCTTTAAAGCTTCATCATCAGCGTTATTGTTACGGAGTACTAAAGTGATAGAAAAAAAAAAAATGTCAGAAGACAAACCCCTCAACAACGATAGGTCTAAAAAAAACTCACCTGTTCTGGAGGAAAAAAGTTATGTTTACATATTATTTATATTATTGAAAAATGTTTTAAGAAAAATTATGGAATAGATTGAATGGGGACCGCAATTATTGCGGAACCCCTTTGTTAGGGAACTTTGAATATTATGTTGAGTAGTATTTAGAGAAAATCGACAAAATTATTATCAGTTCATGCCAAACTCTAAAAATAAAGAAAAAAATCAAATGTCAAAGATCAAACATCAAACGAATTGCATGACTTTGACATGATGTGGCAGAGGTGACGTGGAACATCAAATAGACTAGAGATGGGGAGATTATAATGATATCGAGATGGGAGCAATAACAAAATTATGGTTTATGAAACTTTTGGTAAACTTTAGGTATCGAATCAGTCCTATCAGATGGAATCGAATAATTCTCATTATTGAATAAGTGTTGATAAATGTAAGACAATTGAAAAGCTTAGAACAGTCAAAATGAGTCTGTTCATTGATGCAAGTCATTTTCTCGGGATTCTTTAAGACCTTATGAATTTCAAAATTTTCAAGTAAGTTGAGTTTTTTACTTTTATGACAAAAGTGTAAGAATTTAAGTTTCAAAGGACCCCGCACATTTAGTACGTAAAATGGCTTTCGGCTAAATTTTCTTGAAATTTGATATGCTTAAGACATTATCGTCCTTATCACACAGTCCAATTTACAGATCGATCCTATGACCAGTTTTCGAGCTACAGGGTGTCAAACATTAGATTTTGGCTGTTTAGAATATTTTGCATCAATTCGAATTATGTGCTCTAAGTCGTGATTATTCTTCAGTAGGAATGAACTCTTCACGTCTAATATCTACCTCATATGAATCCCTTTATTCGGTTAGAGAATAATATCACATACAGAGTATTGCATTCCATCATGACAAGGTAATATTCTTGGGAAAAGACAAATATTGAAAACATCAGAATTTTGATTTTTACTCAATCACTGAAAACTTGAAAACAAACGGCTAGAATCGGCCAATTATGTGACACAGTATGGGTCTTGATCATAACCATGAGGATTCATAATATGATTACCTCTGATACCATGTCCGGTTGGCCATATATAGGGTGATGACAATTTGAAAGCTTATAGAATTGATGTAACTCGGGTACAAAATGAGATACATTTCTATAATATATGAAGTGGAAAATAAAATGTCTCATGAAATAACTCACCCCCACCAAGCCCCTGATGAGTCACAACCACCCCAACGCATATCATCTCAATAGTTTTTTCCAAAACAATAGGAATACTGATTACCAATGCAGAAATATTACTCAGCTCCATTCAGACTCCAAAACAGTTTGTAATGCACATAACAATATGCAAAAATAACCGCATGGATGAAATATATATAGTCTTCAAGCAGATATAGATAGTGAACGATCTCTGCTGAATTCCAGCGAAGACCCAAGCAACAATATTTTCGGAAATCGCCATCAACAGTGCGACCCATTATGTACTATAATTCATGGCTTTTGCCTATCAGTTCATCTATAGCAATGCTTGATGTCATATTATGGTATCTGACAACTTGTCTCAATACGACCATCTCGCCAGAATATGAGCCACAATGTGAAAAATATCTATCAGCAGCTTTTGACAATCATCAAAATACAAATTCTCTTGAGAATTCAAACATAGCGGACATGTCACAGTTTTACAACTTCTATCTTGGAGATGTTCTGCTGGATTGAATGGAGCTGTATCCTTACCGTCTGACCAGCTCAGGTTAGGTTAGGTTAGGTTACTAGAACATTCTGTAGATTTTAGTTTTTTCTCGCTTCACTAGCCAACTGTTCACATAAGCAATTTCACTTTCATGGTTATTTATAAAATGCTCGATAATAACGATTTTTTCCCATACTACAAAAAGGTACGGAATTAATTCGTCACCCCAGCAGAATGATATAGGTGATGAAATGTATTTTCACGAAGCTATTCAATGAGGTATCACAATAAGTAGGGGCTACTATTGAGATGATATGCGTTGGGGTGGTTGTTACTCATCAGGGGCTTGGTGGGGGTGGGTTATTTCATGAGACATTTCATTTTCCACTTCATATATTATAGAAATGTATCTCATTTTGTACCCGAGTTACATCAATTCTACAAGCTTTCATATTGTCATCACCCTATATATGGCCAACCGGACATGATATCAGAGGTAATCATATGAATCCTCATGTTTACTGTGTCACATAATTGGCCGATTCTAGCCGTTTGTTTTCAAGTTTTCAGTGATTGAGTTAACATCAAAATTCTGATGTTTTCAATATTTGTCTTTTCCCAAAAATATTACCTTGTCATGATGGAATGCAATACTCTGTATGTGATATTATCCTCTAACCGAATAGAGGGATTCATGGGGTAGATATTAGACGTGAAGAGTTCATTCCTACTGAAGAATAATCACGACTTGTAGCTCGAAAACTGGTCATAGGATCGATCTGTAAATTGGACTGTGTGATAAGGACGATAATGTCTTAAACATATCAAATTTTCAGAAATTTCAGCCGAAAGCCATTTTACGTACTAAATGTGCGGGGTCCTTTGGATCGAAGGAATGTTCTTCATTGACTATGTGATTAGGGAAGACTGAATTGGTATTGATGAAAACTTTTTCAGAATTAATATCCATGATTCGTACATGTTCTGTGGTTCTAGTTCTGAATTTGCGACCTGTCTGACCGATATAACATACCTTACAATTGGGTTCAGAGCATGTCAATGAATAGACGCCAGATTCATCGAAATCAGGTATAGGGTCCTTATTAGTATTGACTAATGAACTTCTCAGATTGTTTGAGGTTTTGAAAGAGAACGTAAAATGGGTGGTATTGTTATTATTAAGTTTCTTATTGAAAATTTCTTTAATTTTGAGAGGAACAGGGCCAAAATAAGTTAATGAGAAAAATTTTTTAGTTGTAGGAGGTTCATGATTGATAAGGAAATTGTTCGAGAATTTATTCAAGAATCTGAAATAAAGTTTGTTTCAGATTCTTGAATAAATTCCTCGCTGTCGTTGGATGAACGAGTCTTTGGAAAGAGATGTTCTGCGGGTCTCCAAAGTGACCATGAAGGGGTGCGAAGCCTCAACTCGACGGGTTTATCTCGCGGGGACTGCCAAGGAAAGAACGATTGTTGATATTTCAGAAGAGCATCGTCCATGAAAATACCTATAAAATAGAGCCAGATCGCCAACTTTTTCACGATGTTTCAGAGAAGTGAGTGAGTTTGTGAGTGAGGCATCACCCACGAAACGAATTGCTCTATTTTGGACAGAATCCAACA